CTGTCATCCTGCTTCTAACTTTAAACTTTTTTGCACAAGTTACCTTGATTGAATTTTGAGAAATACACGATATTTGATTTGGTATCTAGACCACTTTCACAGAATAGTCATCTAAGAAAAAAAACGCGAATTGATCTTTGGGCAACTTGAACTTTTAAGGAGCTATAAAAACATCTCCTTAATTATTTAATTTTATATTTTTCTATCAATAATAAAAAGAGATTCGTGCTTTTTTTAGTCAACTATTAAAATTAATGTATGTGACTGTGAAACCAATGGCGGACATAATAAATCTAAAACCATCAACTAAAAAGATAAAATCTAGGTAAATCCTAATAGTTGGCGTAATTACTCCACCCCTCTTCTTTCCTTTCTTCCAAATAGAAATGTCTTTATAAACAAATATTTTGTTCAATACCAATGATTATTTTTTCTCGAGAAGTGGAAATTTGGGTCGGGTTGTATTAACAGTGAACTAAGATATCACTTCTGGAATGGCACATATTTTTGGTATTACAAAAGGCTGAGGTTATTATGTTAATAAAACTATTTTGCAGCTTCATCATGTCGTCACAGTTCATTTCCCTACTTCTGGACATGCTCTATTTGACGACCGACCGTATATCGTGACAATAACCCTGCAGCATAGATTCTATTGCAAACGGCTCCGTCATAAGGGTCTCATGGCACACCACTCATCCCTGCCACTTTCAATTTGATAAGACCATTGAAAAGAACTTCACAGAATATTATACAAAGTCTTAGAAAATCTTATAGTTAACATTAAACTTATTCAATGCTATATATTTTATATATAAAGCTAAGTTTCTGTCTGTTTGTTTGCACCTTTCAGCCCCTATAATAGTAGGCCAATAAAGATATGGAATCAGCGTACTAAGGTTTAATGTCTGTGGCATCACATTTTTAATGTCAATGAAAACTTTGTAATATATTTTTTTCCACTGGAAACAGACTGGATTTTTGGCCTGATTTAAGAGGAAATGACGTCAGAAAAATGCATATTTATTTTATACAGAGGTATGCTGCCGTTGTGGTGTCAGAATATAAATCCATCAAACGCTGTCGTGTCTACTGACAAACAAGACTAACTTTTTTATAGAATAGACAAGTTGAACCCGAGAAATTCTGCACAAATAAATTGTTTTTATTTCCTTTATTAGAAGAGGGGGAGTTACGTATGATAAACGTTTCTGACGCTGATTATGTACCTTAGAGTAAAATGTCGAGAAAAAAAAATCAATTCTTATTACCAATCACAAGCAGTAAAACATATACAACAAAAGCGAAAGAGTGAGAAATACGCCTTGACAGTCAACGAAAAACACGTGCTCATCGTCAAGCCGATTCTGAACAAGAGCGGCAATATCGCAGAGACAGTGACGTCATCCACCACGCAAGAAACATCAAGCACACGAGACTTTCGTCGGCGAGGAAATAGAGAAAGATATCATTCTAATCGGGGTCTGAATTGGGAAAAGTATGACCATCTGATATGTATTGTTACATGAAAAGCGAAATTTTGATCCTTTCTGTTTAAAAATAGCAATACATCATTCCTCTGTTCAGGTAATACCCGGACGCCGGGTAAGTACTGCTGGTATATATATAAAGAACCATAATAGTAACTCGAGCTTTTCATTCACTGAAAATATTATGGATATGCTGATGAATAATGCAACCATAACTTGGTCAATGAGCAGCATATATTGTATGAAAGTCGTTACTTCTCAGGATATCCCGTCACCAGAGTAGCAGCTCTTAACGAAGTCCTGTTAATAGACTTGATTCTTGGTGTTGTGGAACAGTATACGAGCATTTTTCATAGCGACTGTCATAATGTTAATCATTGTAAGCCTAATTATTCATGCAAACTACGAAACATCAAATAATTCGAAGTGCAACGCCTCTGTTGTGAAACAAACTTAGAATATGGAATATGCAAAAATGTTATATTTATATATTTGTTTAGTTTTAAAAGGTATAAAAGCAAGAGCATTATATATATATATATATATTGTTATTGTTGACTGTGATAAGCACATAGTATAAATTGTGGCTATTAATGTCAGCGCTGTTGATATTGTTCTTCACATAAATGAGAGAATTTTGGTAAAGCGTTAGTAAAGAATAAAACTGTTTATTTTCAAGAGGGCCTGGCATGGCCAGGTGGTTAGGGCGCTTGACTCGCAATCTGAGCGTCGCGGGTACGAATCCCCGTCCCACCAAACATGCTCGCCCTTTCAGCCATGGAGGCGTTCTAATGTGACGGTCAATCTCAATATTCGTTTGTAAAAGAGTATCCCAAGAGTTGGCGGTGGGTGGTGATGACTAGCTGCTTTCCCTCTAGTCTTACATTGCTAAAATAGGGACGGCTAGCACAGATAACCCTCGTGTAGCTTTGCGTGAAATTCATAACAAACTTTTCGAGAGAATTGTTCTTCTAAATGAAATTTATCTAAATTCAAAGAGCCGCCTTCAGAAATGCTGGAAGGTGTTGCTAGGTGTCGTTATGTCATCAGGTCTTCCAAGAAATATTTAATATATATTTCCGTGTGCTGTTGTAAGTGTATCTCATTTCCGGTACAATTATTTTCATGACGTCACTCAACTCCCCTTATATATCACTCATTTGATTACACCACAATTTCCAGTTTGCCGCTGAAGACGAAACGTCCACCTTTCGAAAGCGCTCAGGTTATAAGGTTTTATGATTTTGTATCAAGACTTCTTGAACCTACGTGTTTCTCTGACATCATGCATGTGTTCTTTTAAGATATACAGTTATAGCTTAACTATTAATCCGTGATAGTAATGTAGCATCAGCTTTTTCACTTGTAATTTAGGCTTGCGTGTCGTTAAACAGTGAAGATGTTTTAATGTTCTATACTCTCCAGTGTAAGTAGAAGGTCGCTCCTAAAGATGGTGTAGAAACAAAACGTTGAGAGAAATAAATATAATCTTATTCCGCGGATTTTTCAACAAACAAAATTTTCCACACGAAGCAAAGACATGCGGCTAAGTTGCCAGACCTATGGATTTCTGTACGACTGAACTGTTGAAATTGGCGGTAAAAAACCGTCGCTTCATGCACTGGATGACTTACGGAAAGCAAACAAGGAGTAATGGTGTGCTTTTGACATGAAAATCTTACAAAGGAGCCTTTTGCGATAGAAACTACACTACGAATTATTGTCAAGATGCACGACTGTCAGATAGAGCATGACTGGACGCGACGACATGGACTATAACGGCGTGGCAATGCTTCAAAACTGTTTTAATATAACGCACTCGACTTTTGTATATTCAAAATAAAAACTCTAAGCAGGAAAATATAAACGTAAAACAGAAGAAAAAATATTAAAATCGATAATAAAGCCTATAACTGAAAAAAAATCCGGTAATACATTACAGGTTCTAGCTGTTCAGTGTAGATCTTTACTTGATTCAACACTTAAATAGATCAAATGAATGTCTAAAATATACATGCATGAAATGTGTAGAAAGAGATGTTCTTAATCGGAATAGAAATTATAGAAATATTTAGCTGTAAATAACGAGGCTTAGACTTTATGAAGATATCATTTCAATCAATCACCATGGGATGTGACTTGTTCTTATTAGGTGGTCGTCACAAACAGCTTATTCCATTTCTCTTATCGTACAGGTTGTTAATTTGGGCAATCCTGAAGAGAACCTTTGATCTTTAGTTAAAGTCATTTGTACCTAAAGTGCACTTAACGCTTCACGCGCTAGTAGTACAAAACATCAAAAGGCTAGAGCCCAGCAGTCACAAACGAAACAGAAGTACCGAAAGCGATAATGAAAGCAGCAATAAATAACTTAACGTATCTTCGGTTAGACATTGCTGACTCATACAGACTTCGGTTTGCCCCTCCCCTTCTCGAGAGCGTGTAGATAGAGAACAAGAGGGAATCTTCAATAACCGCGGCACTTGAAATTCCTTTAGGCAGGATTAGAGTAACTTAATCTATGAGACCTTTGTTTCCCTTTTTATCAGCTATATTTTTGTGCGCCAGCAATACCAAGCGTGGGGCGCGCGTATAGCCGATTCGACTTTTTAGTCATCAGGATCTCTACCAGCCTACCTTAAAATTTAAATTCTTTTAGACAGGATTAGAGTAAACTAATCTATGAGACCTTGGGCGTGGTCAAATATATCAATCGAAAAGGGTTTGACTTCAGGAGTCCAAAACTATAATTAGATCTCAAATCGATCAAGATATGACTAAGCTAAAAGTTTGTACTTGAAAAAAAACTCGGAGCCATTCTATGAGCCGCTATGCCGCGGCTAAAAAATTAATTATATAACAAATTATTTTACGGTCTCACGAAATATTGACTTTACGAAGTTTTCGTAGTTACAATTGTTTATCTAATAGATGTCCTAAAGTTTGTAACTACCAAAACTTCCTAAAGTCAATATATTTTGAGACCTTAATGTTTGAATGTGAAGTGTGAGAAATATATATAGCATTATTAAATTCATACCGGTTAGTGACCATTTACTTCTTAAGCTTCCATTTAAAAGTAACCATATACCTTAATCTATTTTTGATCATTTGAATGCAACAAAGATCCTTCATACGGGTTCTGTTCTTTGTTTAGTGTCTTCCATACTTATTTCTGAAAGTTATTTCACCCGAGGAAAATCTTTCCAACCACCTGATAAAACCATCTCATCTGGCTTGATCATAGTATGTATTACTTCATGTTCTTATCTTACGTTAATATAGGTATCTTAATAAATGTTACCTAAATTATTTAGCTTTTCTCGTTGACTAGTTCCTTAATTAGCAAGCAAGAGTATTTATGGTTTTAGCGCCCACTGTTTTTAATATTTGTATTTTGTTTAAAATTAATTGCTTTGTGATTTGCAATGTAGTTCAATCTGTCCCATGGTAGGTCAACGATTAGTTTACGGCCGGATAACACCACAATCCGGGGTTCTATTTCCCGCAATGGACAGTAAGTCATTTGTTATTTCTTCACTATCACTACCAGTTGTACCTATGAGTCACAAACAATACCCAAACAGCTAATTGGGCGCCATCTCGAGATAGTAGTAAGAACTTCTGTTTGAAAGAAAACATTAATAATAATAATAATCTTTCCAAGAGTTTGGAAAGAAAACTCATCTTCAAAGAGATCCCCAAAGTTAACTTAAAGATATTAATTATATATTACAAGCAACAGAAGTCACTCCTGGCATCATCTGGCAACGTCCTGGTCATAATTTATTAATCAACACTCATACAGACTTCGGTTAGCCCCTACCCTTCTCGAGAGCGTGTAGATAGAGAACAAGAGGGAATCTTCAATAACCGCGGCACTTGAAAGCGGAATATTACGCTTCAAGAAATACTGCTTGCAGCTGTAGATCATATGTGCATATACCAGCAAGAAATGTTCATGGTGACAACAACTCAAAACAACTGCCGAAATAAACTTAATTAAACCAAAAGACAGCTAGTGACATTTTCCTTTCCATTTCTCAAGTTTACAGATATACTGTGTATAGTCACAATTAGTTAAGCCTATTCGCTTATGTGGGGAATACAACGCATTTAGTTTATTGTGTAACTTTATGTTTAACAGCAAAACAAATACACAAACAAACTACTATAATCGCCTAGGAGCAAACTCAACCTATGCGAAAAGTACATAATACATCACACCATCCAAACTCCTGGTTATCGTAAAAGTCATCATAGTAAAAGATCTACAGAATCAAATAACCATCCTAAAAATATTTCGAAAACAACTTAGACTTATTTAACAGAGTATATAGAATTGTAAGATTCCAAAATACTTTTTTTTCTTTTACTACAAATTAAAGTGGATTTCCTGTAAAGTTAGTGCTTTGTAGTAAGAATAAATTAGACTCTAAAAATTACTGACTTCCGATAATTAAAACTAGAACTATAGATGTCACTTTTTATATATTTTTTTATAAAATGCATTGAAATATACTTCATTATTATTCTTGTTTTCGCATGTTTCAAAAGATGGCGCAACGAGCCTTCTTTAGATACTTGACACCATCACGTTAAGATCACTTATTTAATTTTTTGAAACTCCAGACGTCTTTTCTGCTGTTTTGACACATGGCAATTTACTAATTATTTATTGTGATTTACTGCATATTAAAAGTTAAATTCGACAAATATACAAAATATAAAATTTGTATGGAGAAGCGTGAAGACAACAAAATATATAAAAAGAGCGAAATCAATGTAACATATGAAATTTATATTTCTAGGAGAAAAAATGTAGTTAACACAATTCAATGCAATTTCTCTCACTTCATCTCTCGAAACTGAACAAACATATGTAAACTGCCATGATGACGCAATAAAACACTTGGATTGTCACGAAGTGTTAAAATAAATCACTTGGACTATCACGAAGTGTTGAAATAAAACACTTGGACTGTCACGAAGTATTAAAAGTTCAAGCAATAAATATGGTAAGCCAAATGACAGACAGGTGAACGTTGCACACGGGCCTTGGTACAGCGATTATATAGGGAAAACATCATTAGTTGGATAAAGTAATAATAACGGAATTTGACCAGACAGCAACCGAGGACTAGCTAGCCGCCTTCGTTCTAGTCACTCCACTCCCGGTGGCTCAGTGACAGTTCTGAGGGCTTACAACGCTAAAAATCTGGTTTCTATACCCTCGGTTGGCACAGTTCATATAGCCCACTGTATAGCTTTGTGCTAAAAAACATACTATAAAGTTCTTCTAGTCTCTCAGTTCAAAATTAAGAACGGAGTTAACCCTTAATTTGAAACAAATAAAAAAGCAGGCAGCAACAGATCATTAAAAATTGTGAAGCACATTCTATGAAAGCCTAAAGGCAGATAATGTGAGTTCTAAAAATCCATGAGTGAAAGCAAAGAAGAATATGTTATTATATGTGAACCACACCACACCTATAATAGTAAGGTGGGCCACAGTAGGACACTGAGAGGTTCTTATCAGTAGCTTAACACAATACAGCTCGAACAGTATTTTAATAATAATAATAATGTTATGGATTTTATTTCAATTATATTCAGATTAATATATGAGCACAGACATCGTGAGAAACATAAATTAATGACTTATCCAAAAATAAAAATAATTGTAATGAAAGTTCCGAAGTTCGTCAACAAATTAATGGAGTTCTAGTTTTCTTAGGTAAAAACACTATCGTGAAATAATAACTTTTTAATAGCTTGACTAAGGGGGATGACTGATAAAGCAAACACACACATTCTATTTTCTTTTGCAAGGCCAGGTGGTTAAGGCACTCGACTCGCAATCTGCGGGTCGCGGGTTCGAATCCCCGTGACACCAAACATGCTCGCCCTTTTAGCCGCGGGGGCGTTATAATGTGACGGTCAATCCCACTATTAGTTGGTAAAAGAATAGCCCAAGAGTTGGCGGTGGGTGGTGATGACTAACTGCCTTACACTGCTAAATTAAGAACGGCTAGCGCAGATAGCCCTTATGTAGCTTTGCGCGAAATTAAAAAAAAAACAACTTATTCTCTTTTACCAACTGAGGAAACTTTGGATGAAGAAGTAAAACCGAAACATTTTGACTTGTGATTTATTTTCAGTTACGGGAGAGAAGCTGCTTTTGTTTTTCAAAATATTTTTGCTGATTTAAACAATAGCTAGAAGACTCTGAGATCGATTTATAGAAAGTTCGAGCTTAACAATGAGAAATAATAGTGTCTTTGCATGAGAGTGCCGTGAGGTATTTTTAAGAATTCTTTTTTTTTTTTTTTTTTTTT